TGCCCATTTTTTGATGGATTATTTATTTTGATATTAAACTGTAAACTATTTCTACATTTTGGAGATTAATCCCTTGTTGGTCTCTTCATTTGAAAATATTTTCTCCCACTCTGTGGATTGTCTTCATTTTAGTTATGGTTTCCTTTGCTGTGCAAAAGCCCTTAAGTTTAATTAGGTCCCGATGGTTTCTTTTTGTTTTTGTTTTTATTTTCGTTAAGTTTAATTAGGTCCCAATGGTTTCTTTTTGTTTTTGTTTTTATTTTCGTTAAGTTTAGGAGATTGATCCAGAAAGATATTGGTGTGATTTATGTCAGAGTGTTCTCCCTATGTTTTCTCCTGAGTTTTATAGTATGTGGCCTTACATTTAGTTCTTTAATTCATTTTGAGTTTATTATAATTTATGACAATTATATTTGATAACATTTTAACTTCCTAAGTGGCACATAAAACAACTGCTTTACGAATCCATGGTATCTTAAGTTGGATGAAAATCAGTATAATGTAAAGATCCTCATCAAGTTTTGAGACCCCTTTTGTCCCAGGTTGTTGACAGTGTACATGTCTTCATGAATATGCCTCTCTCCTTGTACTGTGTTGGCTGGAAATCAAGGCAGAATTTTCACTTAAGGTTGTTAACTTTGGAGATAGATATGTAACAAAATATAATTGGGAAGTCTGCTACATTTGAAAAAGGAAATTCCAACCTGGCTATGTTTAGTTAGATATATTTTTTAAGTTTGCAAAGCTGAAAGCTAGTCAGCAGAGCAGGATCCAGTCTTCCTTAGTTCTGGTTGTCCTGTTGTTTTATCTTTGATGGTGAAGGATGGCCTTTGTGAGATGGTTCTGTATCTACTACAGAGTGATCACAAGGGTGATGTTTGACGCAGAGCCTTCGCGTGACCCAGCCGTCCAGCAGCTGTGTGTCTCCACGAGCTGATGTCCCCTCGGTCACTGTTGGTCATCTGCTGACAAAGCTCGTCTTTGTGCACATTCACCAGATGCGCTTCTAGTACTTTTCCTCCAAAGGAACGAGTCCAGGTTGTCACAGTTGAGGCTGTGTTCTCCTGGTTCCTTCTGATCATCTCACACTTAGAGTGTATAGTGTGGAATGGTGCATCATAGTGGCAGCATCTTGTGGTGTTTGAGCGCCTTTCACGGGTGTACATAATCCTGTGATTTCATCGGTGTCCATGTGTCCCTCCTCTCACCCCAAGGATATTTCAAGAATCATGTGCCCAAGCACTGTGATGGCAAGGGGGCCCTGAGGGGGAGTATGGTGCATCTGAAGAAGCAGATGAAGGAAATAGATGAAGGGCCTATGTTTGGAGCAGAGGGGAGTGTGGGCAGAGCTAGAAGCACGTGCCCTCACGGACCGTCGTACTCACTTTGTCCTCATTCTAAGAACAAAGGACATTCTCTCGAGGTTCCCCTTCACCACATCCCCCCTTAAAAAAAACATGCCTTTAAAAAGCTCTCTTCTGAAGTCTGGATTTTGTATGTGTTAGGGACCAGATGGGACCATCTAAGCTCAACATTCAGAAAACTGACATCATGGCATCTCATCTTAGATGGTTTTGGTGGAGACCTGCTTCTAGGATTAATATGGGTGAAAGCCTGAGTCGGGGGAAAAATGGGTTCCATGTGAATAGATAACTTTAATAGTTTCTTGTCCAGGAAGAAGAGTCACCAAACCCATTTTTCACTCTTTTTCCGTCTCCAGGCCCCTGGAAGCCTCTTTGCTCTCTTTTCATCACCCCCAGAGCAGCCTGGATCCCAGAGATCCATCTGTCAGTGCTCACCTTGGATCCTTCCTTCCCTGTGATCTCAAACCCTGCCTCAGACTCACTGGGGGCACCCATCCAGTTTCTCTTCCAACTTGAAACATGTACTTAATTTCCCCTCATTCCTTTACTGGGCTAGTAGGCTTCCAGTTCTGACTCATCCCATTTTTAACTCCTGGCCCCAACCTGCCCTACAAAGTGGCCAGAGTTGGCCACCATCCAGAGACTCTCAAATCTCAGTGATGCGGCTTCTTTATTGTCTCTTCAAATTAATTTCCTTTCTCACTATCACTGTCTCATCATCTTTTGCCTGGTCTGCTATTCTGCCTTTTAGTTCTTCAGTTAAAAACATATGATTATGATAGCTACCTTGAAATTTTGTTGGGGATGTTAATTTAAATGCAGTGTGTGAAATGTAGCATAGAGCCTCACTGTTAGTGACGTTCTGGGTTTCTTCTGTTTCCTACTCATTTATGTCCCTGGCTCCAGGTTTTAGCTACTCCCTTTTTGTTTTTTTCCTGCTACCAGAGTTGTCGTCCCCAAACAAGCCCTATTTAAGTGCCTTTAGTGTTTCCCCATTGCCTGAGTGTAGCCAGACCTCCTTAATGTCACAGCCCCAGGCCCATCCTTTTCATCCCATCCTTACACCCTTGCCACCCCGAGTCTCAAAGCCTTTCTTGAATCTGATGTTCCAGGTACATTTGACAACTGGGTGTTGTCTGAAAACTCTGCTTTGAATTTTTTGTGTTTGGTTTTGAATCAGAGTTCCCTTTTCTTTTTTCTCCCCTATCTCTTGGTTGTGGAAAACAATGAGCCAAAACTTTATTCTATGTTTGGTAGAATTATTACATATGTGTGTCTGTATGAATATGAATCTCACAAACTGTTAGTCATCCTGAGGGGTGGGCATGAGGTCAGCTTTGCCATTGGCTAGACATATTATCTTGTCCAGAAGTGACTTAAACTCTCTAAATCTGTGTATTTTCATCTGTTCAGTGAAGTAGGGTTTAAATGGATGGTCTTTGTTTCTGCCTGGACCCAAACTTTATTATAACCCAGGTAAAGCTATTCTATAGGAGGAACTGAGATAAATCTCCCAGATCCTTTGCTTTCTAATAGAAGTTAGTGACTTTAGATGCTAACTGGATTAGGGAATAAAGAATTAGCAGTTGGGTGAGTAGCAGGCACTTTATGTATATCAGTCACTTAATCCTTTGAAACCTCACTTGAGCTAAGTAGGTATTTAACAGATAAGATAATGGAGGACTGGAAAGGTTAAGTCACTGCCCAAGACATAAAGCTGGTTAGGCTGTGGTAGCTGTTGGGCTTTCCCACTAGCAGCCACGCCTGAGCAGAAGTGGGTGCTTCAGCTTTTGTCAGCTGTGGTTTCTTAATACTGTTTTTCTCTGGACCATGAAGTGTTTAGTCCAGACAGTTTGGGGGGAAAAGTTTTTGGTTGCGTGTATGTGTTCATCCTGGGGTTTGAGTTATTTCGCTTTCTTCCTGGTTAATATTTCTATTTAAACACCAGTGAAGTCAAATCATAATGCTTGACTCTCTGTTATTTGTGCTTATTTTTCTCAGAAAGCAAATGTTTGTTTAACAGAATAGGAGAGGGATGAAATCCATGGCAGGTGAGTGGATAGTCTTCCTGCATCGTTGCTCACTTTAATGTGTCTGGAGTCCTGTATAGCTCAAAAGCAAGGATCTCAGTGCCTTGAGGTAGGTGGCGTAAGTGGGCGCAGGAGCAGTAATGAAAAGGGCAGCAGCAACAGCTCCGATTTGTTGAGCTGATGAGCCTGATGCGTGTGACTGATGCACGTGAGGATGTGCATACATGTGTTACATTTGCTGTATATATTTTGCATGCATGTTTCTAAGTGCTTTACTTGCATTTGCTTTTTCAATCCTCTCAATAACCCTTTGGAGGCTGGTATTATTATCATCTCCATTTTTTAGATGAAGAAATCAAGGCACAGAGAAGATAGGACACTTGCTTAAGTTTATAGAGCTAGGATTCATGCTTGCAATTCTATATCTGAGTTAGTTCAAATTTGTATTGTTAACCTGTTACATTGTTGAAATGTCTCTCAACTAATGTGTATCTCCTTTTTTGGTGTTTGGACTCAATGCACTTTTTGGAGGGCGTTAGTAATAGACTTTATTTATTTTTTGGGGGGGGGGCTCCAAAATCACTGCAGATGGTGACTGCAGCCATGAAATTATAAGATGCTTACTCCTTGGAAGGAAAGTTATCACCAACCTAGACAGCATATTAAAAAGCAGAGACATTACACTGTCAACAAAGGTCCGTCTCGTCAAGGCTATGGTTTTTCCAGTAGTCATGTGTGGATGTGAGAGTTGGACTGTGAAGAAAGCTGAGCGCTGACGAATTGATGCTTTTGAACTGTGGTGTTGGAGAAGACTCTTGAGAGTCCCTTGGACTGCAAGGAGATCCAACCAGTCCATCCTACAGGAGATCAGTCCTGGGTGTTCTTTGGAAGGACTGATGCTGAAGCTGAAACTCCAGTACTTTGGCCACCTGATGCGAAGAGTTGACTCATTGGAAAAGACCCTGATGCTGGGAGGGATTGGGGGCAGGAGGAGAAGGGGACAACAGAGGATGAGATGGCTGGATGGCATCACCGACTCGATGGACATGTGTTTGGGTGAACTCCGTGAGTTGGTGATGGACAGGGAGGCCTGGCGTGCTGCGATTCCTGGGGTCGCAAAGAGTTGGACACGACTGAACTGAACTGAGTAACAGTTTGTCTTCAAAGTAAAAATAACTAGGCCTTGTGGGGTTGTAAAGTCATTGGAATTAGTGAAATATCCTGGAAGAACTAAGACAATCCTTCTTATGTGTTATTAACCATGATGTTTTAAAAATGCAGATATGAAAGTATTACAGATTCATGAAGATACTTTATTCTGTAGAATGTTATTGAAATGGAAATTTTTCATATGTTTCAGTGCTGGCTGGTGAAGTAGCTTTGTTTTGAATTACAGCACATAAGCAATTTTTAAAAGGTTTGGCAGTAATAAGTAAAACAAACACCTTTTCTATTTAGCAAGCGATAATAGTGGATTCTAAAATGACATTTTGCAGGAAGAAAGTTTCAGCCTAATAGAGACATAACAGCATGTGTATGTTTTAACTTTTTTGCATTAAAACTCAGTATATTCTTCTTCCCTCCATTTTCTTTTGTTTGTTTTTAGGTCTTCACCAAAGAACATGGATGAAAATGAAACCGACCAGTCCCTGATGCCAAGTAGCCGGTACCCTGAAGAAGCGGTAAGAAAGCGCCCAAATTCACGGAATTCTGGAGGACGTGATTCTTCTAGGTTTTCCAGGAAGAGTTTCAAGCTGGATTACAGACTAGAAGAAGATGTAACTAAATCAAAGAAAGGGAAGGATGGGAGATTTGTTAACCCTTGGCCAACGTGGAGAAGTCCGTCTATTCCAAGTGTTCTCAGATGGCTGATAATGGAAAGAGATCACAGCAGTGTTCCATGCTCCAAAGAGGTAGCGTTTGTCTTCCGAGTGCTCTGTATTTGCTCTTTTTAATTATTTTTGATGATTAGTTTATTTGGCTGTGCTGGGTCTTTTTTGCTGTGTGGGCTTTCTCCGGTTGTGTCAAGCTGGTCTACTTTCTAGGTGCGGTGCCCAGGCTCCTCGTTGCGGAGCGTAGGCTCTGGAGCGTTTGGGCCTCGGTGAGCCTAGCGCGGGGGCTCAGCAGTTGCAGCCCCAGGCTCTGGAACACAGGCTCAGTCGTCGTGTTGCACAGACTTCGTTGCTCTGCAGCATGTGGGATCTTCCCAGGCCAGGGGTTAAACCCGTGTCTCCTGCGCTGGCAGGCAGATTCTTTACCACTGAGCCACCAGGGAAGCCCCATGTATTTGCTCTTAATATATGTATTCCTTAACTTTGCTGTGAATTGTATTATGACACTCCAGTTAGGTAACTGAGCCCTTTTATACGATAAGGTTCTGGAGAGATGACATGAATAAGGTGCCTTCACATTCACAGTGGAGCAGCAGAGCGCATGTGTGTATAACTAGCTCTGATCTGGTGGCAGCTGGAAGTAGGAACAGAATGTCTTAAAACTGCAGGAAAGGAAGCTGTTGATTCTGACTGCTGGGATTGGAAATGGTTTTATAGAGGAGATGATCTTTGAAGTAGGCCTAGAAAGATAAAAAGTATTTGGCAGTGGTTTTCCCAGTGGATGGTGGCATGAAGAAGGTCACAAAAGGTGCGAGTGCATGACATGTTCCAGAGTGTGCTAACCCGTGCTTTGGAATATGAATTATGAGGGTTAAGTCTAGAGTGCTTGGCTCTTCATTCTTGGATAAAGCTGCTAAAAATTTAAAAGAAATCATCAAATAACCTTCCACTCCTTTAAAAATTGAGAGTAGGTTTCTGGCCTTGCAATATGCCAGTTACACTTATGATGAAACAAACTTTGGCCTCCGGTTTATTAGATGAGTGAGATTTCACTTTGGCTGGGAGTGGGTGGCTCCCAATTGCAGTAGGACTTTCCTCTCTTTTCTTAGTTTCTGGCTGCTCTGTTCCTCCTACCCACCTTGTCCTCTGTTTTCCAGCAATGCCTGTCCTGCCAGACACTGTGGGGAATTGAGAGATAAGGCAGCAGGCGTTGGAAGTGGGTGGGATTGGAAGTGGGAAAAGAGTGTGGACATCTCTGAAGGCTTGATCTGCAGTGAGGCAGGAGCGGGGGAATAGGTGGGTGGTGACGACGTTAGATCTTTTAGGTAAGTGTGTCCATTTTTCTTTATAAAGGATATGGGATTAAAAAACAAAACACAACCCATATTGTCACTTCAATGCCAAGGAATCCTAGTTAACAGAATTAACATGAATAATATTTTCCCAGCACTTTTTAAGAGTGACTCAGGAGATTAATAAGTAAAACCTTATTGTGTTTAAACTTTGTGGTTGGGAGGAACAAGACCATTTTTGTTTCTTCTAGAGAACCGATATGAAGAGAAACATGGAGTCAAGCTGTGAGAAGGGCTTAGGGCAGGAGGCCAAGATGGGTAGACTACCTGTTGGGTAAAAGTCCTTCCTGGTATTTGGGCCACAGCCTCTAAAAATACAGCAGTAGTAGTGGTGTCTTTAGTTTTCCTTCCTTTCGAAGAGGAAAGTAAGTGACTACATGAAAGCGGAAGCACATCTCTGAACACTGACAGTTTAGAGATAACTGACTAGAAACTGGGTTCATTTTCTGAGAACTCATCAGGCCAGTGGTTCTTAAACTCCACTGTCCAGGTGCTAAAGCTCAAGCCATGAACAAAGCAGAAAGCACCCTTGCCTCCTGGGGCCTTAGGTTTAGTGGAAGAGAGACAGTAAATAAGTAAATGATGTGTGATAATGAAAAATGATTAGTGCTTTGAGGAATAATAAAGTGGAAAAAGAAATGGGGTGGGGGGTTGGGAGCCGAATTCTTTAATGAAGCATAAGCATTTTTAAAAACTTATTTATTTTTAATTGAAGGATAATGACTTTACAGCATTGTGTTGGTTTCTACCAAACATCAACATGAAATCAGCCGTCAGTCAATTCAGTTCAGTTGCTCAGTCGTGTCTGACTCTGTGATCCCATGAATCGCAGCACGCCAGGCCTCCCTGTCCATCACAAACTTTCGGAGTTTACTCAAACTCATGTCCATTGAGTCAGTGATGCCATCCAGCCATCTCATCCTCCATCGTCCCCTTCTCCTGCCCCCAACCCCTCCCAGCATCAGGGTCTTTTCCAAAATGAGTCAACTCTTTGCATGAGGTGGCCAAAGTATTGGAGTTTCAGCTTCAACATCAGTCCTTCCAATGAACACCCAGGACTGGTTGGATCTCCCTGCAGTCCAAGGGACTCTCAAGAGTCTTCTCCAACACCACAGTTCAAAAGCATCAATTCTTCAGCGCTCAGCTTTCTTCACAGTCCAATTCTCACATCCATACGTGACCACTGGAAAAACCATAGCCTTGACGAGACAGACCTTTGTTGGCAAAGTAATGTCTGCTTTTTAATATGCAGTCTAGGTTGGTCATAACTTTCCTTCCAAGGAGTAAGCCTGTTTTACTTTCATGGCTGCAGTCACAATCTGCAGTGAATTTGGAACTCCCAAAAATAAAGTCTGACACTGTTTCCACTGTTTCCCCATCTATTTGCCGTGGAATGATGAGACCAGATGCCATGATCTTAGTTTTCTGAAATCAGCCATAGGTTTACCTATATCCCCTCCCACTTCCCTCCCATCCCACCCCCTTTTTTTTTTTTAAAGGCAGGAGTTTCTTGTTTCTTTGATTTTCAATTTAGTTTTTATTTTATATTGAATTATAGTTGATTTACAAGCTACTCCCCATGTAGGGTATTACCAAAATATTGACAAGAGTACCCTTTTCCTTACAGAAGATCCATGTTGATTCTTTTATATTTAATGGTGTCTATATGTTAATCCCAAACTCCTAATTTATCCCTCACTGCCATGTTTTCTTGTACCTACAGCAGCCACCACTGAGCTTTCCAAGTCTGTGAGTCTATCTGTTTTGCAAATAACTTCATTTGTATCATTTTTCCTTAACTGTACCTAAAAGTGATAGCAGATTTTATTTGTCTTTCTCTGTCTGACTTGCTTCTCTTAGTATGATCATTGGAAGGGCCATGTACATTTCTGCAGATTACATAATTTCATTTTTTTTTAAGGGCTGAGTATATATTCCCTTATATAGATATGCACCACATCTTCCTTACCTATCTTCATCTATCTTCTTCATCTATTGATGGACATTTTGGCTGAATCCATGTGCTGCTGCTGTGAATAGTGCTGCAATGACTGTTGGAATGCATTTGTCATTTCAATTATGGATTTCTCTGATAGACACCCTGGAATGGCATTGCCGGGTATATAGTATATCTACTGTTAGTTTTTAAAGAATCTTCATACTGTTCTCTGTAAAGGCTGTTACCAGTTAACATAGGAGGGTTCCCTTTTCTTCATGGCCTTCCCACCACTTATTCTTTCTTATTTTTTAGTTTTATATATTTATTCACACAGTTTTGCCTGTGCTGGGTCTTCATTGGTGCACAGGCTTTTCTCAGTTGCAGAGGGGCTGTGACTCTCTAGTAGCGTGTGGGCTTCTCATTGCGGTTGTTTCTCATGAGGAGCACGGGCTCTAGGGTGAGCGGGCTTCAGTAGTTGCAATGCGTGGGGTCAGTATTTGTAGCTCCCAGACTCTAGAGCTCAGACTCAATGGTCCTGGGACACAGGTTTAGGTGCTCTGAGGCATGTGGGATCTTGGACCAGGGATTGAACCCATGTGTCCTGCATTCACAGGCAGATTCTTTACTACTGAGCCACCAGGAAAGGCCCCTCCAACATTTATCCTCTGTAGACGTTTTGATGGTGGTGATTCTGATTGGTGCAAGATGATACCTCATTATACTTTTGATTTGCATTTCTCTAATAGTGAGTGATGTTGAACATCTATTCCTGGGCTTTTTTCCTTAAAAGAGCCTTGTGAATCATATTTACCAGTTGAAATCAGCTTCTTGAGAGTCACCCCTGTATTGTATTTTCTTTTGATTACCTAGGACAGCACATTGCATGCGGGGAAGTCACGAATACAGTAGCTCTGCAGGCCTTGTGATGCAATTCCTCACCCACGGTTTTCCAGTTGTTGTTATGGGAAATGTCCACAAAGGAGAAGCATTTCTTCTTTCCCAGCACTGGTCACAAAGGGTGACTAGGTTAGGGCAAGTCTTGCTCCTAGGTTGTTAACGGGAGCCGACTGTGCCAGAAGAGACTCTCACCTGGGCTGTGTCTTGATACTGTGACCCTTTACCCTTCAGCCTGGGTCAGATCTCAACCCCTGCCAAAGTGCTGTGCTGAGCTTGCTGTCCTCTGTAGGTGGGGACTCCAAGGAAGGAGGCTGTAGGTGGGAATGCCTAGAGCACAGGAGACATGGAGGCCAGGTGACTTTGAAAGCTATTGCAACCCAGGGGGTCTATCGTGTTTTCCCTGCACTTGGCTTAGCTTAGTTTTCTGATGGCCCTCCTGGATCAGGACATTCTGGTCTCTTTACAGGGTACAAGACACCACAGGTCCAAGGGGGTTACTCTCTTGACACGTCCTTCCCAGCTCCCTGAGCCCCATGCCAGTCCAGCTTTATGATCCAGGTGCCTCAGGCTCCAGGGATGAAATACCAGCCCTGAAAAGTCAGGCATGAGGCAGGAATATCTGCTGCTTTCCTTTTTAGGTTGTCATTTAATTTTTAGTTTATGTTGCAGTTGTTGTTCAGTCGTGTCTGACCATTTGTGATGCCATGAACGCAGCACACAGGGCTTCCCTGTCCATCACTGTCTCTAGAGTTTGCTCCGACTCATGTCCATTGAGTCAATGATGCCATCCAACCATCCTCTGTCTCCCCCTTCTCCTCCTGCCCTCAATCTTTTGCAACATCAGGGTCTTTTCCAATAAGTTGGCTCTTTGCATCAGGTGGCCAAAGTATTGG